AAAAATTATTAACAAATATATCCTAACAATGATGATATTCAACAAGCTATATGCAAGGATATATATGCAAAGGAAAAAATAAATTAGAAGTAGGGGGGGGGGGTGAATAGGGTTATTGCTCATCTTATTAGATATTAATGCCGATTAAAAATTATTAACAAATATATCCTAACAATGATGATATTCAACAAGCTATATGCAAGGATATATATGCAAAGGAAAAAATAAATTAGAAGCAATATAAACAAATAATGGACACAAAGAGCAATCCAAACACAATGATATGATCACGGAGTTCGAACCTTCCGTCCTACGTCTCCGCTCCCCACTCTCGGGGAGAAGTCCACTATCGACACACCAGGTTTGGAAGCTAAAACTTCTCTACACACTTGGTTTTCTAGCTCACCGAAAACTCTACAAATCACTCACAATGTACATACACAAACTATAACCTCAAGTGTTGGTCCTCACATATCGCCTCCTTCAAGTGCTCGGCTTTACTATATCTCTCTAGGCTTTACTATCGACGCCACTCATCTTGGTATCGACTACGTCCTTATCACACACTCCTCTTGGTGTAAATGTGTATTACAAGGTGAACTCTCACAATAAGGCTCAAATATAAGATTTTGTTCTCTACAATAGATAAGAACACAATTTAAGCTCAGTCTCACAAATCACAAACCCACAACCTAATATATGATGTATGAAATGCTACAAGCTTAAATATGGTGTGTGTGATAAAATGAGTATAAATAAAATCTAACTCAATTAGCAAACTAGCAATAGTAATAATATGAAAATCAATAATAAAATTTCTAGAGAAAAGGGTTAGAAAAACTTTTCTATAAACACAAAGAGGTTGAAGAAGATTAAGGATGAATTCCTCAATTAAAAATACAAGCATCCTCTTTGTAAACTCAAGCACCAAACTTAAACTTGAGAAAACAACCTTTTAAATAATTAAAACTCTTGTTAAAATACCCTCTTCAAAACTTAATTCTGATGAGAACAATAGGGGTTTATATAAGAAGAAAAACCAAGTCACAAAACCCAAGCAAAACCAACAAAAATGAAAATAGCAAAGGCTGAAAATATAGCCATTGGAGCTGGTCAGTCGACTGACGGGATGCATCAGTCGACTGATGAACTGACCGTTGTATTTATTTTCCAGCTCATTAGTCGACTGACGATCTTTATCAGTCAACTGATGGATCATTAGTCGACTGGTCAGTCGACTGATGGATCATCAGTCGACTGGTCAGTCGATCGAAACAAAATAGAAACTATTTAATGATTGCAGGCACTTTCATCAGTCGACTGATCAGTCGACTAATTTTATTAGTTGACTGATCAGTCGACTGATAACAAGTATACAGCCTGTTTAAAGCAGAAACCTGGTTTTCAAACCGCCTTTAAAAATAGTAAACAAATTCTAAAAATTATGAAACTTTGAAAAATGATTGTAGACATGATAATACACATGCTATAAAAACTGGTTTTCAAAAAGCATCTCCCAAAAGTGAAATCTCATCATTTTGCAAAATCACATAAGTATGAACATGTTAAAAACTTGATTTTGCCAAAATGACTTAAACAAAACTTTGAAACACTTTAGAATGGATTTAGAGACTTATACAAGATATAAAAATAGTGTAAATAAGTTTTTAATCGATAAACATAATATTTTATAATTTTAATAGAATATGAAACACATAAATGTGAAAAAGAATATATACATTGTTTCGTATCTATATAGCTAAACCAAAAACAACTTATCCACATAGAAAACAAATAAGTATTATATATCTATTTGTTTGTAAAAACTTTTGTGGATAAAACACATAAACCATTAAATTGTGTGTGTATAATATTGAGCTTATAGAATTAACACACATTATATAAAAAATTGTGTGTGTATAATATTGAGCTTATAGAATTAACACACATTATATAAACCTTAAACTAATTTACCAAAGCTTGATAGATCTTCATTGTAGCTTGTCTTGGTACACATGGAAGAAGCTTGAACTTAGATCTTGACTAGTATGCATAGGCTTCATTCCACCATCTCCTTCCATCCTCCAATGGGTATGATCGTGAAAGCTCTAGTCCATCCATCCTCTTACTTATTGTTTGTTTAAAATACCTAATAAGAAAATATAAACACTAGATAAATAATATTAGAAATTGTTTGTAATCATCAAAACAAGATTAGAAGATGTAGGCTCATAACATGAGACCTAACATGCTTCATTTCACTCGAAAAAGAAAGAAAACCATCAGACTCAACTCCCAAATCTAACATGCGTGAGAATTCTCCTGGATGTATAAATATTTAGCATGAACTATATAGCAACTTTTTAATAAACAATTCTACTGTTGGTTGCGACCTGCTCAAATTAAATATAATACTCATATGATGATCGTCTGAGATCTCAACTACGGACGTTCTATCAAAAGTTATGGGCCAATTGCATATTATTTTTAGTCGGTACTCTCGTGGGTCAATTTCCATAACTCAGTGTAATTCCTTAATCAAGTCACAATAACTATATAATTCTGAGATCATTAACGACGTTGTTACCCCTCCGACGTACATTGGCATATTATTCATTCCATAATTAATTTTTCCATAATAAGAGCAAGCAATAAAAATCATATTGTTCAACCTATGCAAAAGAAGATTATGTCGTTTAAATTTAAAAAAAAAAATAAAAAACTTTATTAGGATATTGAATAAAAGAGTAAAACCCAAGATGCGAATAATCTCATATAATTTTGATCAAAAACCCTAAACCCTAAAATAAAAATTCTAAACCCTAGAAATGAGCATTCTATGTCGTAGAAGTTTAATTTCAATTACAACTATCAACACACAAAGCATTTGAACCACCACAAATATAGTGATTGATAATAAATTTCAAACCCTAGAATTTGGATTTTGATAGAAAACCCTAGATTTTTATATGTTCAAAGAGGAGAGAAGGAAGAGAAATTACCCTAGAGATATTAAGCAAACTTTCACGACGAATTTCCACCACAAAATAGAGTTGGGAGAAATAAAAAGGTGGCTGAACGAGAGAGACCGGAGTTGGAGAGGAGAAAAATTACGATTTGGACGATGAAATGGGTTCAGTCGGTATATATAAGGGGGAGGGGACCCACCAGAAATAGTCGGGGTTGGCAACCCCGGCTATTTCATGACTTAGTCCCTCCCCCCATTTTTGGATTGGGGGTTGTTGTGAGTCTCTGCTAAATGGTCGGGGTTGAGAACCTCGACCATTTCGATTTGGCGCATCGAAATGGTCGGGGTTTCCAAGCTCGACCATTTTGTGCAATCACAAAATTAGTCGGGGTTTCGAACCCCGGCTTGTTTAGCTGCCTAAACACCAAAGGGCTACGGGCGAGGACCTAATTAGTCCGGGTTGGTAACCCTGACTAATTAGGACCGTAATTTTTTTAAAACGACACACGTTCTGGCCACGAAACTGACGTGACGAGAAAGTGAGTTGAATTTGGTAAATAAGTTTGGATACAGTTGATTTTTGGGATTAAAATTTTGAATGAGTTTATTTCAAAAAATTTCTTCTACTTCCCCCCTAACTCCTCAAACTACTGACTCCATTCATTGATCCCTAATTACCAACCATCAAATTTTATATGTGAAATATGTTGATTTTATGGATGAATGCATGTAAAATAAACAAATGTTGACCTCCTACTCTCTTGCTGTAATCATTTGCGTGCTATCACGAAGAAATCATTCTCAATTGGCTCCATACTCATGAATGTACAGCTTTTTGCCGTACATAATCTAATTACAGACAACATCTTTAACAACCTCAAATCATGGAGCACAAAATGGGGAAATTCAATGCACCTCACTTTTTATATTAACAGATTCATATGGTTTGATTTGTTTTGAGATTATATTCATAGTTAACTTAGAAATCATCATGAGGACGAGGTCTTTAAAAATGTGATATGCCAATAATAGGGAACATGAGACATGTCTCCGCAACTTTTAAGCCGGTCAATTATTATACAATATCAATGCAATCAGACTATTCTGTCAATGCAAATATAATATTGTATCAGTACAATAAGAATATTCTATATGTACTGGAATAAATGTCATATTCTGTTTCTTCTCTATATGATTTTCTTTAGAGGGTTGTGTGTATCTAGAGCCTCTTTGTAGGCTTTATTCCCGATAGTTCTTGGTTAGCTGCCAACTATGTTATATTATTCAAGAATTTTTTTATAAATATTAAGTCAAAGTCAGTTTTATTTGTTTTTTTAGGATTTTCTTTCTTTCTTTCTTTCCTTTTTTTTTTTGATAAAGTTTATCGTTAGGAAATTAACCAATATTGATGGAAGGATAAGCGCGAAAGACTTTGAAATCTGAACTATTCTTCCCAACGACTAGCAAACTGAAAGAAGACTTAAGACTTGCATATCATTCTATACTACGAAGGCCTAAATTAGTGCAAGTTGGGTTATTAATCTTGTGCATGTGCATATAATATAAGTGCCAGCTATGGTGAATTATTATTGATGTCGGTTTGTATGTATGATATCCACATACATTAGACTCTGATTGCTCCCTCCATGTATTTGGGTCAAAAGTGTCAAAAAAAAAAAAAAGGTGTAGAAGCCGTGTATATTTAGAGGAGAGAATACTTGAGGAAAGAGGGGGGAAAAGGATGATCTTCACAATTTTTGCAATATATTAGATCAAAATTGATTGCTCCATGTTAGAGAATGAATATTAATGAGGAGAAAATAACTCGCATCGGTACTATTATGTACAAGGGTTTATATACAGATTAGAAGACCTGGCATGGAACATTTCAAAGAAGGAACAAAATAAACCATCTAATTTGCTTTTTTTTTTTTTGTCAATGAATTTAAATTTTATTCATCACCCAAGTATGAAAAATTTATGTACATCAAAGCATCCAGAACCATAGTCTGGGAAACAATTAGAAAGAAAATTACAATTTCACAATTTCCTCTTTTATATAACCAGGTATATTGTCATTCAAGATTTTTGAAAGTATAGAGATCTTTATATTGTGAAAAAGAACTGCAGGAGCTCTAGACTTTTGCTGGAAGATCCGCAAATTTCTCTCAGTCCAAATTGCATACACTGTAGCAGATAGAGCAAGTCTCTTCAATTTCTTCATGAACCCCTTCCCTCTTAGCCTGTTGCTATACCAGTCAGTGATACTTTCCCATCTACATGACCTCCATTTGTAATCCAGCCAGTTCATCATGTTGTTCCACACCTCAACAAAATATTGGCATTCAAATAGGAGATGCTGACAGTTTTCATTGCTCTGATTTGAACATAATACACATACATTTGTTTCCAGAATTCCCAAATGACATAATCTGTCTTGAGTTAATAGCTTTGCATGAAAAACTAGCCAAAGAATAAAAGAGTGCTTTGGGAAATTCCAACTGTCCCAGACAGTGTCTGACCATTGAACTTTAGGAGAATGCTGTGCTATTTCTTTGTAGATAGAAGATATAATGATTTTGCCTCCAGAACAGCATTTGTTAATTGCATTATGCAAGTTATAAACATTCCCAAATTTACTTATGAGAGTATCTCTCACCTTGAGAAGTTGTTTCCACATCCATGAGTTGTTCACCTTCACTTGAATTTGCCAGATACTTTGCTGTTTTAGAACCATCTAATTTGCTATTATTGTTTAACAATTCATTTCGGAGATTTTTTGCATTCATCTAATTGCATGTGTAGGTACCCTTTGAAAAATATTAAATACATATTCATTACTATCCTAATTGACTCCCATCATATAGTAAAGTCAGCTGACTCCATATTTTCTGAGGAATAAGCCTCGAGTCCAGAATAATATATCGTAATTACCTGAAGCTTTTCAAAAGTCTCTCAAGTTTCCTTTGTTCTACTCTTACACACACACATCTTCAATATTTGGGAAGAGTTACAAATAAATTGTTAACTAACTCCCTCACTCCCACATCCAAATAGGTGGTTTCATGTTAAATTCATAATTAAACTACCAACTTGATATTGTAATATTTGTTGCCTGCAGTTTTCTGTTTTTCTTTGGTTAACCTGAGTGCAAGTACTTGTCTGATATCATTTTGAGAATGACCCCAAGTTATTTAAAATGTTAATTCTAACTATATAAATACTACTTGATGCTGACATAGTAATTTTAGCAACTTCATACTGCACGATTGTATACGCTAAATCTCAAAAGAAAACAATTAAAATTTTTTTTTAGTTCGAAGAAACACACTTTTGTCTGATACCTAAGTGATTGTGACACTAGTATTAGTAATCTCAAACATCACTCTCTAAGTAGTTATTCTCCATGCATATAAGAGTTTAGATTCCACTTATATCACAACATGAAAATCTGTATGTCCTTAAGTATAAAGGAATCTCTACCATTATAATATTGAAAATGTTTCGATGTCAGTATTCATTGCAACTTTATAGTTTGGTACAAGCGAAAAGAATTTTAAAAAGGTATCAGAGCAACTTATATTTAAGATCCATCGATCATGTGCTAAGTGGAGGAAAAAGAAGGCACTGTTGACCATTGCGAGAAGCCAAATTTAAATCTGTAAAAATGACTGTGCAACCTGCTAAACATGTTAGAGCATAAAGTTATTGTTGTGCGCGGCGGAAGCTTTTCTTATGCAACACGAACAATAACTCGAACTAAGTCACAACTAATATGTAAACACAACCACAGCAAGAACAAACAATTTACGTGGTTCGGCAAGTTGCCTACGTCCACGAGGCAAGGGGGATGGAGTTCTTACTATTAGAAATCAGAGAATACAAGTAGAGTTACAAATCTCTCAGATCAAACCCTAAAACAAAGCTCTTGATCTCTCATAACTCTCTCACAATTGGATGCAATAATCCTCTCTCAAAGACTGCTCAAATTCGTCCTTGCATAACCCTAACAAATCAGGTTTAGGGATATATATAACTTAGAAACGAATCGGGTCAAAAAACCGAAGCCCAGCCCAGAAAACATCGACGGTCGACCGCGACGGTCGACCGAATCACAAACCCGAGAGCTAAATCCTTTACAGTCATTCGCGGTCGACCGCGGCGGTCGACCGCCATCAACTCCGAATCCCAGTAAGTCTGCGTGCACGTTTGCGGTCGACCGCGGCGGTCGACCGTCATCAACTCCGAATCCCAGTAAGTCTGCGTGCACGTTCGGCGAATGTTTCCACCAAAACTGAGCCGACACCAAATCATCCAATAGTCCCTCAACAAGTCAGAGAACTAATCTAGAGCTGAAACGCGATCTCCCCCCATCTGAATCAACTGATCAAACCGGCTGCATCTGAAAGACTGCCTACGTATCCTCTTGCCTAAGGAATCAAGCCGAACGTAGTTCACCCAAATGGCCTCCAAAGGCCTCAGCACTGAAGGATGTTCAAAAGCTTCAAATAATGACCAAATTTCACTCCTGAAACAACTTTGGTCAACATATCTGCAGGGTTGTCATTCGTGTGGACCTTCTCTAATATGACGTCTCCATCATCCAGCACGTCACGTACAAAGTGGAATCTGACGTCGATGTGCTTCATGCGCGCATGATAGACTTGGTTCTTCGTCAAATAGATAACCGACATGCTATCACAATATACCCGAATGGTCTCCTGAGCGATCCCTAAGTCCTCCAATAAACCACGCAACCATAAAGCCTCCTTAATAGCTTCAGTTACTGCCATATACTCTACCTCCATAGTAGAGAGAGCCACTGTGAACTGAAGCGTGCATCGCCAACATACAGGTGTACCTGCCAATGTAAAAGCATAACTTGAAGTAGATCGGCACTTGTCAATATCTCCAGCATAATCTGAATCCACATATTCAATACAATCATGCCCATTCTTCTCATCCTTCTGGAATACTAAACCAACATCCACGGTGCCTCGAACATACCGTAGAATCCACTTCACGGCCTCCCAATGACCCTTCCCGGGGTCGTACATGTATCTCGATACCATGCTCACGGCCTGTGACAAATCTGGCCTCGTACACACCATCGCATACATCAAGCTACCTACTGCACTGGCATATGGGACCTTAGACATATAATCTCTGTCCTCAACTAAAACAGGTAACATCAACACTGAAAGCTTGAAGTGGGGAGCCAATGGTGTGCTAACTGCTTTTGCATTGTCGTCAAAGATGAATTTCTTCAACATCTTCTGCAAGTAGCTCTTCTGTGTAAGTTTCAAACTCCCTTTCACCCTGTCTCTCTCGATCTCCATACCCAATATCTTCTTTGCCTCTCTAAGATCCTTCATCTCAAACTCGGATGACAGCTCATCTTTCAACTTTCGAATAGCCGAAGAATTCCTGGAAGCAATAAGCATATCGTCAACATATAAAAGCAAAATATGTGCTCACCATCATGTAGCTTGTGCATATAAACACATGGGTCATATGGGCTCCTCGTGTACCCTCGGCCAATCATAAAACCGTTGAATCTCTTATACCACTGTCTTGGTGACTGCTTCAAACCATAAAGGGACTTCTTCATCTTACAAACCAAATCTTCCTTTCCTGCAGCTTTGAAACCCTGGGGTTGTGTCATGTAGATCTCCTCATCTAAATCACCGTGTAAAAAGGCTATCTTCACATCCATCTGGACCAAATCCAACTCCAACTGTGCTACCAACGCTAATAAAATCCATATCGACGAATGCTTCACAACGGGTGAAAATACCTTGTTGTAATCAATGCCCTCAAGTTGTGCATATCCCTTGGCAACCAATCTGGCTTTGAACCTTATGTCCCCAATAGAAGATCCTTCCTTCTTCGCATATACCCACTTGCAACCAATAGCCTTCTTACCCTTGGGTAGATGTGCAAGTGTCAAAGTATCGTTCTTCTGAAGAGACCGCATCTCCTCCTCCATAGCTTCCCTCCACCTGATCGAATCGGGGCTAGACTCTGCCTCCTTGAATGTGGCTGGAACCATATCATCAACGACCTCCACTGATAATGCATATGCGATCATGACATCATTATACTTAGCTGGCCGACGAATCTCTCTTCTAGGTCTATCTGCTACAATGGACCCCTGAACATGACCCTGTTCATGAGTCCCATAATCCACTGTATCATTTATCTGCCCGGCTATCATCTCATCTCCTCCCAGTGTCACCTCTGTATGAGCCTCAATGGATACAGTGCTCTCTGGAGTGAGTGGAGTCACATCATCCTCCACCTGCTGCGATATCTTTCCTGTCTGGTCTCCCTCCACCTGCCGAGGGGCTCGAGGCCTTATCATGTACGCCTCGTCAAATGTGACATCTCTGTTAATAACTATCTTCTTGTCCTGTGGATCCCATAACTTGAAGCTTTTGACTCCATCTCTAAATCCCATAAAGACTGCTTTCCTCGCTCTCGGATTTAATTTACCATCACTGACATGATAATAAGCTTGACACCCGAATATCCGAAGCGACTCATAGTCACTAGCCACCGAACCAAACCAACGCTCCAAAGGAGTCTTCCTATCTATCGCAGTGCACGATAACCTGTTTACTAGATGGGTCACATAGACTAACGCCTCGACCCAAAAGGATCTAGGCAATCCACTCTGCGTCATCATACACTGCACCTTCTCCAGCAAGGTACGGTTCAATCTCTCAGCCACCCCGTTCTGTTGCGGCGTCTCTTGAACAATGAAGTGTCTTCTAATGCCGTGATCCCGATAAAACCGCAAAAACAGATCACTCTTGTACTCTTCACCGTTATCTGAACGTAGAGTCTTCACCTTTCTACCTGTCTGCAGCTCCACTTTCTTCTTCCACTCCACAAAAATATCCAGGACCTGATGTTTATGCTTCATTGGGTATACCCAATTCCTCCTGGAATAATTATCAATGAAAGTGACAAAATAGTTGGCTCCATCAAGAGATGTGTTCTTGGAAGGACCCCAAACATCTGTATGAATGTAATCCAATGTACCTCGGGTGTTATAAACAGCGGTGCCAAACTTCACTCTAGTCTTCTTCCCAAGTACACAGTGCTTACACAGCTCCATCTTGCAGGTCTTAGCACCTTTCAATAGCCCCTGTTTAGCCAATGACTGTAGGGACTTATCTCCTGTGTGTCCAAGTCTCATGTGCCATAAGGTGGTAGTGTCCTCCTCTGTAGTGATAGAAGCTGCCAGACCCCCTGTAACTGTCTTGCCCTTCAAGTAGTATATGTTGTTTTCCCTGACACCTCGCATCACCACCATAGAACCCTTCGTGATCTTCACTGTAGCATCCTCTAAGATCACTCGATATCTTGCTGCCTCCAAAGTCCCAAGAGAAATGATGTTCTTCGTCAACTACGGTACGAAACTCACTTCCTTCAACTCCCTTACTACACCATCATGCATCCTAATCCAGACTGAACCAATACCACCAATAGGACATACATGGTCATTATCCATAAGCACGACATCCCCTCTTTTCAGCTCCTCAAAGCTAGAAAACCACTCCCTCTTAGGGCAGATGTGATATGTAGCTCCCGAATCCATCATCCACTCCGTGGAATCCGCATAGCAAATCGACGGTAATGCAGGGCATGAATAGCCTGAAGAATCTGAATCTGAATGCTCACCAGTAGCTTTTACAACATTCACTTCTGAAGCTTGTGCAGCTTTCCCCTTATTCTTCCCGGTTTTTTCTTTCCACTTTGGGCAGTCAATCTTCCAATGTCCTTCTTCTTTACAATACCGACATTGATTTTTACTAACACTCTTATAGGCACTCCTATTCTTTGACTTTAAGCGGTTGAACTAGCGACGATTTGGATCTCGGCCTCGAACTGCTAATGCATCTTCCGATGCCTTCTCGGAGGGTTCACCATCACTCTTCCTCAACTCATAGTTCACCAAAGCTGAGGTCACCTCCTTGTAGCTGACTGTAGTTCTTCCATTAATCATAGTGAGAACGAACGTACCATAATCATCTTCGGGCAACGAACACATAAGTAGCATCGCCTTGTCTTCATCCTCAACTATAATATCCACGTTGGCTATATCTGAAAGTAGCTTAGTGAAGTTGTTGACATGCTCCCTGATGGAAACTCCCCTCTTCATATTGAACTAGAAAAATCTCTTCTTCAAGTGAAGCCGATTTTCAATGCTCTTCGTAAGATATTTCTCATTGAGTGTTTCCCACATCTTCTTCGCCGACGTCTCGTTCATAACATCATAAATAAGATCAGGCGTCAAGCATGACCTAATAACACCTTATCCTCTACTGTTCATCTTCCTCCAAACCTTATCCTCCATATCTGCGGGTTTCTCTTTTAACTCAAGAGTCTCCTCTAAATTCTGTGCATCCAAGGCATCCATCACATGACACCTCCACAATCCGAAATTGATCTTGCCATCGAACTTCGGAACATCAATCTTTGTGTTATTGATGCTCAGACTCTGTATCGCCTTTGTAAGAGACAAACCTGATGTGCTTGCATCTCCCATGTTGTCGATCTTGCTCTGATACCAATTGTTGTGCGCGGAGGAAGTTTTTCTTATGCAACACGAACAATAACTCGAACTAAGTCATAACTAATATGCAAACACAACCACAACAAGAACAAATAATTTACGTGGTTCGACAAGTTGCCTACGTCCACGGGACAAGGGGGAGGGAGTTCTTACTATTAGAAATCAGAGAATACAAGTAGAGTTACAAATCTCTCATATCAAACCCTAAAACAAAGCTCTTGATCTCTCACAACTCTCCCACAATTGGATGCAACAATCATCTCTCAAATACTGCTCAAATTCGTCCTTGCTTAACCCTAACAAATCAGGTTTAGGGATATATATAACTTAGAAACGAATCGGGTCAAAAAACCGAAGCCCAGCCCAGAAAACATCGATGGTCGACCGTAGGACTCAAATCACAAACCCGAGAGCTAAATTCTTTACAGTCATTCGCGGTCGACCGCCATCAACTCCGAATCCCAGTAAGTCTGCGTGCACGTTTGCGGTCGACCGCGTCGGTCGACCGCCAGTCTGTCTGGCTTCTGTCTGGCTGATTCTCTGTTTTTTTTCCTGTAATTCTTCAGTTATAACCCACATTCCTGACGACAACTTTGAAATTTTGATATATTGCTAAAGTTCATCTTGCATTCTACATCTTATAAGAAAGATATCTAAAATGTTATCAAATTCTTTTTACTGATGACAACAACTGAATTACATGTTTTTCCGACAAAAAAGTGATTACACGCTCCCTTGAATACTAAGAAACATTGATAAAAAGGTAACTAATTACAAAAACATCAAAGAATCAACAAAATCCAACTTTAACATTGAAAACTTTTTTCTTAAAGACAAACTTTCCTTCACTAATCTTTTCCAAAAGAATCAATTGAGACTAATGGATCATTCATAAAAAATAACACATCTTCAAGATAGTACATTGCCTCCCACGAAGGAAAAGAATCAATAGCATCCCAGCACAGACTTGATCCTTCAACGCTACACTCCCCATCCATTGTGAGGTTGATAGTCTCATGTAATCTCCCATCTGCATTCAGAATTGCCTCATTATTATTCTCCTCCTTCTCTTGAGATGGAGGAACAATTTTATTTTTATCTTGGCTTGTTGCATTTGCATTTGCATCCAACACCTTGTTCTCATCGTCTACCGTTATGTTAGAAACTGAGTCATGACCATCTTCTGACTGTTTTATGGGCTCGTGTGTTATTGGATCAATGCCTTGGAGCTTCAACTTCTTCTTGATTCGTGTGTTCCAGTGGTTCTTAATCTCGTTATCAGTTCGCCCTGGGAAATGTGAAGCAATCTTCGACCATCTGAATTGTGATCGAAAGGGAGATGCGCACTGTTAGCTTTGAGAATGTCAATGTGTATTTTGCAAATAACTGTAGAATACTACCTAATTGAAATGCATGCATTTGTATCTTATACAACTAAGGAACTTGACTATCTATCTATGAGAATCAAGAATGAAGACACTCTGTCATCCTCTGCATTGAAATCATAAGGCACTCTTAGCATTAACATGATCAATGCATATTTTGTAACATCGATATCATAACTGTAGCATACATCTTGTCGATAGGAATTTGAACTTTGTAACTACTGATGAAGTTTCTAAGTATTGATTTACCTATTTGGAAATAACCAAATTATCTTTTAACATAAAACCTAGAACTCTGCCTATCTATGAGAATCAAGAATGCAAATATTTGTGGTCATCTCCCTAGTAATCATCAGGAAGACGTATTATCCAAAAAAAAGAAAAGAAAAAAAAGAGGCAGTGAGAGCTTTAAGGTACAACCTTTAGAATTGGACTATCTATGAGAAATAAGAATGAACGTACCTATTACCAAGGCGCGAATGAAGCTCGATCAATATATCTTCTTCGTCCTCCGAAAAATCTCCTCTCTTGAGGTCAGGGCGAAGGTAGTTAATCCACCTTAGCCTGCAACTCTTCCCGCATCTCATCAACCCTTCAAGAATCATACAAAACCATAGACATTACAGAAATTTCATGAAGCGAAGCAGATGACGTACGTAAATTCTAAGAAACACCTTCCATCCATATCCTGGTTTCTGAAGAATCTCTTAATCTAAAAGTTCAACAAAACCCCCTCGTCTTCTTCGCCACTAATGAAATTGTTAATTTTGTAACAAAGTTTTGTTCTTCAGATGTCGAGACAGATGTTTGCATTTCAGGATGCAAAGTTGCAAATAACGGAAAATACAATTCTTGGATAATTTTTTTTTAAAATTTATCATTAACCTGGATTTTTGCATGTAGGCATCAAACTTCACCATAAAACTAATGGTTTCATTGATGAGACGGAGGAGGTTTCTTGCAATTCACTTGAAGCATATAACTAATATCCCCTACCTGCGAGCTTGGGGACGAGGCGCCAGCATTGAATTCCGTTGTTGAGGATGAAGTCAATGAGCTTCTGATCTTCCTCCATCGTCCATGGGCCTCTCTTGAGGCCAACTTTATCACAACAAGGTTTTCTCCCCATGGCAATTGAAGCCCAAGAGGAGCAAGAAGTAAATAATTATGTGTGTGAGAGAGAGAGAGAGAGAGAGAGATAGAGAGAGAGAGAGAGGAGATGATGAACCAACGCTGAAGTTTATATTGTAACGCTACTTGAGGCCTGGATGCTCGAGACAGTTCATTGGAGGCAATAAACAAGTGGTTGTGTTTGAGGTCCACGTTATTGAAGGAATAAAATTTTCTCCTATGAGTTTTGGTTAGAACTTGGAGAGGCCAGAAAGAGAAGAAGATTCTTGTAGTTGACGAGGGGAGCACTCACAATTAAACAGTTAAAGCCAAGGGTTGATCATAAGTTTTTTCTGATATTTGATTGGTGACGTGTTTAAGAGAGATCAATATCTTAATATTTACTTAAGGGTCCCATTAGGACAGTTGGCAACGTCTTCTTGAAATGCCTGTGTTTTGTATTTGAGTTAAATTAGTGGATGTATCTTCACCGACTTCATTAAGAAGTTCTGGATCAAGGTACATAGACCCTTAGTGTTTTCTTTTGGGGTGTTTTTTTTTTTTTTTTTTTTTTTTTTTTTTTTTTTTTTTTATATTCAGCATGGAATTGTGAGAAATGTTTAATTATTTACCAGTTACAACATGGTCCAGTGAGAAATGTTTAAAGTTCAACAGAGTATTGTGAGACAACCCAAACGTCACGTGGTTTAGTAAAACAAATAAAGTTCAGGAGGCTATGTACAATACCCAATAATTTCGGGGTTTTCTCGAATTTAAATAGTTGATGGGGTTATTTTGCAGCACCTCCAATGTTCAAGAGTGTTTTATAAAATTTAACCTAGTAATTTAATTTCTCTAAGACATATTTTGCATTTATTTTCTACATAATTATTTCATCGTATAAATTTTGGACTGGAATTTATAATTTATAAAGGAATTTATGATTAAAATGGAGGAGCATACTAAATGGTTTTATTTCCCCCCAAAAAAAGAGCCCAATACAGTTTCTAATTATAAACATAAATTCAAAACATTCAAAAACAACTGAATCTCAATTAATTTGTGCTACCAAAAAACTTCTGCAAAAATGTCGTAGCACAAACCGACTCCTCCTCACTACATTCCAAAATTTGACACACAACACACCAACATTACTCAATTAGAGCTAACTAGCCTAGCTACCACCATAACCTACATTTGCAAAATTGGTAATTTTTAGGGTAGCAAAGTGTCAATAAAATTACTTGACGGATGTTAAGATTTTGCATCGACAAAGAGGACAATCAACCGAAATACACCAACCAGTGATCAACACAAGCTCCATGAAACCCATGACTAGCTACATTTCATTCAACACTCTCGCATCCTCTCCCCAAAACAAAAAACACAGACATAAGCATCTTCTTCTCCTTCTTCCCCTTCCTCTCACGCTCCTGAAACTCGTGCAGTCAGTCAATGTCGATGGCCAGTGAAGCAGCAGCAGGCGTTGCGAAGGTGTCACATGTGTTTCTTGCGACACTTCATTGTGAACCAGAGCATCGCGAACAAGATGATGAAGGCAGCTACGCCAGACGAGGACGAATGTGCCCACATATTGTTGGGTGTCGGCGGCGGTGATATAACCCAAAATGCAATAAATCCAAAGTTTTAAACTGATTTAGTTTTATACCCACCCACTTACAAAACCATTCTCAAATTCAAAATATCATACTCAATTATTTTACACTCGGGTTATGTACGTATCTGTAGTATATTCTTCTAGAAATGCCAGTTTAGGGATATTCTGCTACTAAAAACTAGTTGAGGGATAAAAATGCTATGGAAGGTACAGATGAGGGGATTATAGTGAAACCATTGACAAGGAACAACTAATACAAATTTGAAATACATACAATAAAATATGATAAGTCAATACAAAAGTCTCTCTCTCAGGGAGATATAACCCCAAATGCAATAGAGATCAACTCATTCGACAACAAAAATCCATCAGGATCACTTAACCTAAGAAAACCAACCTCCTCCTTCCTCATCTCAAACTCCTCAATCCCCAATCTCCTTCTATCCTCATTCATAACAATCACATGCCCACTCTCAATATATGGCCTAAAAGCCTCATACAATGCTGACGCTAGCTCCTTTCCATAAGACCTCTCAAACATACACATATCCAAACCCCTCGCCGTTCTAAGAGACAACATAACAACATCCATAGCCATATCCTTAGCTTCCACAATCAAATTTTTACTCTTTTCTACCTCTTCGTTTTCTAACTTTAGGACGTAGTTTGTGTAGTCTTTGAGTCTTTTTGTCCTTGAGAATCTGACTCCATCAACGTAGCTTGTGGATCCTAGACCGAATCCATAGAAGGGTTTGTTTTGCCAGTATGCGAGGTTGTGGCTGCACTCGTAGCCACCCTTGCAGTAGCTGCTGATCTCGTAGTGGTCATATCCCGCGTTGGTGAGGGTTTCTGATGCTATTCTGTAGAAGTCTGCGGATTGGGTTTCTGTTGGTAGAGGAAATTCTCCCGGAGTGTACCTGAATATGTATAATTTGATATTATCATGAAAATGTTTAACACTCTTATCTCCTCAGGTGTGTTGCAACTGCATTTAAATCTCAGCACGCATGTTTAGTTGATGTTATCGCAACTTCAAGTTACAGTAAAAGAAAATTGACTGAAAAATACAGGAGTTGCAATTATGCTTGAACTGGAGTTTTCGAACAACAGGAGTTGGAACTGCATTATGTTGTAAATGCATTTGTAATTCTAACAACTCCTAACCAACCATGCATTTAGGTTATGTTTTGTTAGACCATATGTACTTACAAGTGTATGTGCATTGTGCAATATCATATAGTTCCAATTCATGTTGTTGAAACATCCATCAATCTGAATATAGCAACGACTCCTCTATATGTAAGTCAACTTTGTTTTTGCATAGGTTTTTGCAACAAATCTTCCTATGCAAAAACAATCAACAAAACAGACGTTATGGAGTTTGAATGTAGCTAGTTATGCTACATAAGACTCCAACTCAACAAAACAGACGTTATGGAGTTTGAATGTAGCTAGTTATGCTACATAAGACTCCAACTACCCTTACCCAAACATAACTTCAATTATGGAGTTTGAATGTAGCTAGTTATGCTACATAAGACTCCAACTACCCTTACCCAAACATAACTTCAATCAAACAATGCCCAAAGAATGTCTTAATGGAAGGCTAAATATCAAAAAGTCCCCCTTAACACTTGACAATTATCAGATAACCCCCCATAACTTTCAAATATCAGAATACCCATGACAGAGTCAACCACAATTTTCACGAGTCGGTAAAATCACACAGGGGATTGTTTTTGCCAGTGGAAATTATTGTTAACGCTTTTAGGGAGTTTTCTAAAAAATCTTAAAGTTGAAGGGGGTTTTCTGATAACCTGTAAACTTAAGGGCGGTTTTCTGATATTTTGAAGGTGAGGAGTGGTTATCTGATAATAGTTCAAAATTAAGGAGGAGTTCTCTGCTATTTTGAAATTATGGAACTGCATGATATTGTAAATCAATTGCAAGTCCTTCAAAAAAACACCACTGTAAAGTTTTAGAAAACTCGTTCGTCGATTACTTACAGATGCGCGAACTTGGTCCCCTTCTCAACCTGCAGATCGTAAACTGAGACATGTGTGGGCCCCGCCTCCACCGCCCTCCGCAAGCTCTCCCTCCACATTTCCTCCCTCTGATACGGCAAAGACGATATCAAGTCCAAGCTCCAATTCTCCAACCCATCACACCCATTCACCATCTCCACCGCCTCCTCCACCTCCTTCACCCCATGAGCTCTCCCACATCCCCTCAACATCTCCTCTTGAAATGCCTGCACTCCCAACGACACCCTATTCACCCCCAATCCCACAATTTCATCTAATTTTTTCTTATCAAAAGTACCTGGGTCCATTTCGATAGAGATTTCAGCATCCGGGCTTATGCCAAATTTTGATGAAATTACATCTAGGACTGAGGAGAGGAGTTTCGGGGGGATGAGAGAGGGAGTGCCCCCACCAAAGAAGAGGGTTTGGAGAGGAGGGTGAGGGTTTGGACGGGAGCGGGTGGACTGGATTTCACGGAGGAGGAGGTGGACGTAATTGGAGATTCTCGGGTCATTTTCAGGTGAGGGAGAGAGGTTGCCGAGGGCTATGATGGTGAAGTCACAGTAGTGGCAGCGGTGGCGGCAGAAGGGGAGGTGGATGTAGGCAGAGGTCGGTGGGGGATTTTGTCGAACGGGTTGTGGGCATTGTAGAGTGGAGATTGGAGAGAGTCCGGTTGACTGATGAGGAGGGAGTTTGGGTTTGAATTTGCGAGGATGGAGGAGGAAAGAGGAGGAGGGGGAAACAGGGAAGAAAGTTGATCTCTGCATGATTTGTTTTTTTTTTTTGTTTTTTTTTGCTTCGTTCTGTTCGTGCAGGTTTTGGAGGGAAGAAGTACGGGTCTGTTCGAGGCGGGGTCTGTTAAACTTGGGGGTTATTTGCACATAGACTCCTTACAATCATGGGATTTGTAGAATCACCCGTCACATATCAATATCTGCAAAACTACCCCTCAAATTAACAAGTTTAAACGAAAATACCCCAAATCATCAATCATCAATAGTTATATTTTTACTTATCAAGTTGATGATTTTATGCCTTTTTTTTCTGAAGTTAATAATTTGAGGGTTAATTTACGAAATATAAGAGTTGAGGGATAGTTATGCAAATATCTATAATTAAAGGAAAATATATGCAAATAACCCTGAAATAAACGTAGCCGAACTTTGGGGCATCAGAGTGAAAATTAAATAAGCCTTACCGAAGGGACACTATTATTATCCAGGACCCTGAGTTTTTTTGTCAAATTAGTTGGGTATAAAGCGTAATTTTTTCCTCACTGCGATTCAAGCCGCCGCCGACGCATCGCGCGAGATGGGGAAGAAATCGAAGAAGCCCGGGCACGGAAAGGAGAAGACGGAGAGAAAAACCGCGAAAGCCGAAGAGAAGCGAGGTCGAAGAGAGAGCAAGAAAGTCTCTGAAGAGGACGACATCGACGCCATCCTCGTACTCCTCTCCCCTTAAACCCTAACCTAACCCTAGCTAATTTTTCGCTATTAATTATTCTAATTTTTTTAATGCAGAGGAATATACAGAAGGAAGAGGCAAAGAAGAAGGAGGTCCACGTCGACGACAATGTCCCTCGTCCTTCCCCTCGATCCAACTGCTCTGTAAGCAACCGAAACCTTTAGTCCTAATTTTTCAAATTTATTTGGGAGCAGAATTGTGAACTTTTGATTATGTTTTGGCTCAGTTGACAATCAATCCGCAGAAAGAGACGGAGTTGGTTCTGTATGGGGGAGAATTCTATAATGGCAGCAAGGTGAGTGTTTTTGTGGGATCTATGTTTGATAGTGTGATATAGGTCATTCTTTACTTAGCACCATGTTGAGGTTTTCATTTTGGGTTGTTTGCACTTTGATACCCCAATGTTTCACATTGTTCTGAGTTTTGGTACCCTAAAGTTCTGTTTTAACGTTTTGATACCTCAAAGATTTCAAATTGAAGTTAATTTGACAGTTTGATACCTAAAAGCCCTTACTTTGTTCATCACTTCCGCCAACTTAAAAAAACTGAAATTTGGTAAGAAAATTAGTTTCTAAATTCTCTTTTATCTGTTGATATTCTTGAACAAAATTAATGTCGAGTTTTTTACACTTTGAGGTATCAGATTGATAGAAAAAGAGCAGAAGTTTGGGGTAGTTAAAGTGCAAATAACCCTTCTTTTCTTTCCAAAAATTTATGTTGGAAACAATATGTACCGGAATGTGCAAAATATGCAAATATTCTGTACGGTCCACGTAGTAGTCTACATTTAGTCCCATATCGACTCAATCAAGAATCAACATGGGTTTATTAGAGGTGAGTTCTTGTAAGTCCTTTGTGTTGCGAGGGTACTTCTATCATGAAGTCGGACCAGTACCCGACACGTTCATACGTGTACTGGTACCAGATACTTCTTGGACACTCCTTAAATATATGCATACATTTACTCTGACTTCAATTATGTAATACATGTTTTAATTAATACACTTGTCATACACTTCTTGGACATATACCCTACACTTTTGATCCACTTTTGTAACTTGTTGGACAAGTATCGGTTTCGATTCAGCCCACAGTTAAGAACTACGATTTCTAAAATCTATGATTTTAAAGGGTCTTTTGCGTATATAGCTCAGAACTATGATTTCAGTCCATGATTTTCAGTATGTCCCGTACCCTACCTCTTACAAATTTGATGTGTCCTATAATCGTACCTGCACCCACATCCATATCCAACTTAGTAAGTCCACAAATGGTACAGAGCTAACCTGATATTCGCAGTTGCAAAGCGTGCAACTTTGGCCAGTCCGATCTAGTGAAACCCAAAAGGGTAAGCCGGGATTTCGGTGTTTGATGGGGACCAAGCTAGTGCAAAAATAGCCCTTATAGCACCAACATTGTTGAAGGATGTTGGTATTCTAGTAGGGTCCATTTAGCCCCACTTTGACTAAGCGGGAAGTTAATGTGTGTTTATTAGAGATTTAGATTGCCTCCTTCGAAAAGCTAGCCTTTTTGGATGAGTCTTCTAGATCTCTAACATTTTTGGCTAGAATATTTGTCTTCTTAAACGTGCTGATCCTTTTCCTAAACTATTTGGATGAATGTATACTTCTATGCATGTGATAGTGCATAGCAAATCCTTATTCGTTTTGCTCATTATCTAATGGTATCGTTTACATATATACCATGATCTTAATTCAACTTAAATATGCTTGAAGTTTCTAGCGAACTATTGTAATCCTATATCTTACTATTGTAATCCTATATCTTAAGTATATCATAAATGTTAATTGTTTAAGTTTTTGTTGCAGACATTTGTTTATGGTGACCTTTATCGCTATGATGTAGAAAAAAACGAATGGAAGTTGGTCTCAAGCCCTAACAGTCCACCACCTCGTAGTTCTCACCAGGCTGTGGCGTGGAAGGATCATATTTATATGTTTGGTAATTTTAGTTTATTCTTACGCCGTCCAATGAATTTAAAGTGTCCTCTGACTGATCTTATCTCTCCTATAATTCTTTAGGTGGTGAATTCACTTCTCCGAATCAAGAACGGTTTCATCATTACAAGGTAATTTATTCTCAGTCATTTTTACTTTTAATCATCTGAACAATCTTTTTTTCTTCTTTCCCTGCGTGCTACTTTAGCAATTATTCTTCTTGTTTATCTTGTAATCTCTCAACTTCCATTACTTTTCCTCTCCTCATATTCTCCCTTTCCTCTTTGTTTCCTTCGTTGTTTACAATTTTTTCGTTTGACAATTTTCAAACCTAACTTTTTTGGGCACTTGTAGGCCTATGCACCACGTAGCATTTCTCTCTTCATGATGCTTACAGACTTACAGTGCTCCTAAAATAGTGAACATCAATGTAGTATAAGCTTTTAGCCTAAAAGTCCGAGTCATCAAGCATATTACATGCTACAGACTATAGTTTGAAAAAGAGGTAAATTTTACAGATGATTGAAAGTTGTCCTAAATCAAATGTTTCATCTATTTGTCAATATAAAAAGTAATATAATTTTAGAATATCATACTTCAAAATTTACCATTGCACCTCTTGAAGATATCCATTGACCCTAGTGTGCTGCGCCTTACAATATTTATATTTTATTCAACATAATTGTTCAGAATATGTAATACAATGTTTTTGGAACTTTTGCTGGTGCAACAAACACTTTGCATTCACACATGTAATACATAAAAATGGTAAATCAATATTCAGTATTTCTCTTTGTTGGGTCAAGTGTCTTATATAGTCTCTTTATATGTTACTTCATACGTTGTTAGATACCTCAGATTAATAGCATTGCTTCTATTAGTTTCTGTAGGGTAAGGAATGTTTTATGCCCACATGTATGCATGAGTTTTATTTATTTAGAAGTATGTATACTTGTGACATACAAGCTCTTGGCTGCTCTTTCTTCTATAAGCATGACCATTTAGTTACTTTTTTGGAGCTTATTATATGGATAATATATGTAATTCTTATATATCGTTAATGTATTTAGTTCTAATTGTAGTGTACATATTATATTTTAGATGAATGAAGAAGATATACTGTTTATAATTGTGAGGATTGACATAGCATGATGGTTGGTTTCTTTAAGCATTGTTTTGCCCTATTCTCTTCATATGGTTGAATTTTCTTTTTAGGACTTCTGGATGTTGGATCTAAAATCAAATCAGTGGGACCAACTAAATCTGAAAGGATGTCCAAGTGCCCGCTCG